TCTGCTTTCAATGTAAAATTATTTATCAATAGTCATTCATTTTTATTCATCGATTGATCTTTTTGTATATTATAAATACATATATAATAAAATATACCTGGGTTATATTTTAGTAAACTATCATATTTTGTCATTAACTCAGATGAACACAACACATCTGAGCCACTGTTCCTATATATGCCACACCAGGCCATACATGTGTCGGCTAATAAATTCCCGGTGGAGGCGCCCCAGGAGTACATCGATATGTTTGCGTACATCGAGTCCGATATGAGACGAGGGTTGGCCGCCGCGGCCTACAGTATGGACGAGTCGATCGGTGTGGTTGTCGAGCGCCTACACTCGAGACAAATGTTGGAAAACAGTATAATTATTTTCATGAGCGATAATGGGGGCTGCACTGGCACTGATATCTGTAATTGAATATTTTCAACCTACCTTTTTAACATGGTTTTAACTATTTAACTAAATGCTTGTACTGTTTTACATACATTTTTGTCTGATAGCAAACGGTGGATCAAATTGGCCGCTAAGGGGAATGAAAATGGAATATTTTGAGGGAGGTATATTGTATTATCATGACAGTTAATATATATTGATATTTCAAAATTAAAACCAGCATTATTAATTATTATGAACTTATCAAGTAACGTTGTGTAATGCACAATATATTCACTGCTTGCTAGGTATCAGAGTCCCGGCGTTCATATGGAGTCCATTGTTGAACAAAAGTGGTTACGTATCGGACGCCATGATTCACGTGACAGACGTATTGCCCACCATTTTAGATGCCATCGATAACAACACCGGCATATTGAATGAACAAATTATTTATGGTATATTGATATATCAGTGGTATTTATTCAAAATCAGGTTTATATATAGGATATGAATCGAGTAAAGTATGATTCAAAGCAATGAAAAATATTAAAATACATATCTTATATATAAACCTGATTTTGAATAAATACCACAGATATAACATAATAGTTTATTTAGTGAATAATTATACAATCATGTGGCATGTTAATTTGCAAAAGGGAACATAGGGAATTTTATTAAAATATCCTACTTACTAACTTACTGATTTTTAATAATCATATAAAATATAATAATATTTGAAATAGGCTTTTTATCAGTTGGAAATGTCACTACAATTAACTGAAGCAATCATATTAGCTATTATTCATAGTTTATTAAAATGCTTAAATATTTTTAAGGTAAATCTCAATGGAATACACTATCAAATAATGAACTGCCGGTGCGAACGGAAATCATACATAATGTCGATTCTTTGATTAATATATCGGCCATTCGGTGGTACGACTGGAAACTTATTCAGAATCCAAAACATGTCGCATTTGAAAGGTCGGGTTTATGGGTGCGACCCCTGGGCTATCAAAACATCGGTCTAAAACGGGAATCATTTCAATCCTTACAGTCTAAGGATCGCGTGAATAGTATGTCATATCAAGTGTTGTCACAAATGAATTGACGACCCGATTATGAGGTGCTGAAGGAGTCGGTGGTAGAGTGCGAACCACATGAACCTACCGATCCGGCCAACAATGACTGCACAACTGAGTTGTGTTTGTTTAACATACGGGACGACCCGTGCGAATACCATAACCTGATTGGGGAAACGGATCCTCAGTTTGTGAAGTTCTTGTGGCAGAAATTGGTTGCTTTTAACGAGACGTCTGTACCGCCGCTTACAGTCCATAGTATTGATCCGCGCAGTGATCCTAAACTCCACAATAATACGTGGATTAACTGGTTGGACAGGGAGGACATGGGGGACAGTATGGATATGACGAGAAGTGAATTATAAACAGCTATTTAATTAGTTTTTAACCTAGTACATTTATCTTGATTCAAACATTAGATAAAATTATAAACTATTCCTATAATTATTTCTATTATGCATAGATTTATTGATAAATCGATTTTATTATAACTAACATTTTAAATTTGAATTAATTGTGAATTAAAAGGATTTTTAATATATATAAAAAAACAAAAAGTAATATTAATTTGTTAAATATTATCAAGCAAGAATTAAATGAATGAAATAAATTTTATGAAAATAAAAATAAGTTTCTGATGATATGTGGTTTTTAAATATTTTTAAAATAACCATATTAATATTAATACCAATTTATTTGTCGTATATATTATTTATAAGGAAAAACATTTAACACTTATTGTGAATTTATTGACTCATATATAATATATGATATACTCTTGTTTGCCAAATAAAGGCACGAATAGACAAACAAAAGTCAAAATGATTACAACACATAATAATTGAACATTTTAAAATAAATAAAAATGAGTTTTAATATAATTATTTTAAATATAATTATATTGATCAATTGTGTAATAAATGGACACAAATTTTACTCTAAATGGACTGATCACTTCAGTAAAGAAAACATTAGCAGACCTCAATGGATTTTTGCTAATGATCTTGACAATTGTCAAGGTAAGTTACATTTTATCTTATTAAAATGATCTATATATCATAGACTATGATTCATAGTATATAACGACACCTAGTCACCTTATTTTTCTGACATAGACAATTCACCTTTATGTTATTGTTACACTAATAAAACCCAGAACATTGTGTATCGTAATAAAGAAATGTTGCTCTTAAGACCTGGATACGAAAATAAATACTATAATACTAAAAAATACACGTCAGCTATGGTTACGTCGAGAAAGCACTGGACTTACGGTCGCTTTGAGATTAGAGCCGCCCTTCCGTTGGGAAAAATGTTACGGACAGATATACGGCTAGAATCGGCACAGAGTAATGGAAATACACCCAAAGGTCGGATAGATATCGTCACTAACGTTCAAACACCAGAGATTCTCTATGGAATACAGACTGGTATTCCAGTTATGAATATGACCATGGTGAACCATCAAACATATGATACTAACGAAACCCTTCAAGCATTTCATACCTATGCTGTCGAGTGGGATGAGACACACATTCAATGGTTTTTTGAGGGAAACCTATTGTCTACGTTAGCCATAAATAATATGACAGACACTGAGTATAAGAATATGACTGGCTTACTTTTCCACTCACCTTTTAAATTGGTTATTGGTTTACAAGTGGATCGAAATGAGTTTAACGGCTGCACCCTATCTGACCAGGATTATGAGGAATGGGACGAAGCAAGATTTATGATTGAATTTGTCAGAGTCACCCAATGGGTTACAATGGACCCCAGTATTACCTCGATGGAAATTTTAATTATTGTCTCTGTAATCATTTTTGCATTATTTCTAATATCGATACCAATTATTATATATTTATATATTCGTCTAAAAAAGTTGAAATGTGTTAATCGTGACAATAATTATAATAATGATAATACATATGAAGATTACAGTCACACGTATAATAGCAAACAAAGTGTATATTTAAGGTATGAAAGTGTTAGCTATGATTGCGATAATAGGAGATCATCACATGGTTTAGTTTTTAATAGTCTATATGTGGCTGAATAATTTTAAAATATATCATGTTAATAAAGTATTTGTTAAGTTTTTTGTTAAAAAGTAAAAAAGTTAATAATTTTAATATATTATAATAGAATATTATATTATATAAAGTAAACTATAAATTTTGTAAAAGCAATATTTACAATTTGAATTGTATTTGTCATTTTATTATAATGTACACGGAAATGCATTTATGGTATATAGTATATATTTATTGACGTTATTATTCATAATTTTTCCAAATAAAGACTTAAATTTTTAGTCTTAAACAATAGTTAGTTATTTACTGGAAAAACAAAATATTTTAAAAATAGAAATGAATTTTATAAAACCAATTCTCAATATAATTATATCTATTATATCTATAAATTATGTAATAATTGCCAAACAATTACACCCGGAATGGAGCGATGAGTTCACTAATCCTAACATAAGTTACAGTCAGTGGGCGATTGCTAAAAATCCTGACGAGTGTCATGGTAAGTTAAACATTTTCTCAATATGAACATTTACTAATTCATTATAATATACTAGAAAATTCATCATTCATAGTATACATATATTGCGATAATATTGAATTTGTTAACAATGGACAACTGGTCATAAAAACGGCACTCCAATGGATTACATCGAAAAGGCACTGGACTTACGGTCGCTTCGAGATTAGAGCCGCCCTTCCGTCGAGCAAAAGTTTGCGAACAGACATACGGTTAGAGTCGGCACACAGTTATGGAAATACATCAAAGGGACGGATAACTATTGTCAATAATTCACAACAAGACAGTACAGAACGCTTCACATATGGCACACAAATGCATATTTTAGACAAAAATACATCAAATCATAAAACATTTTATACGGATGAAGACCTTCAATACTTTCATACCTATGCTGTCGAGTGGGACGAGAAAAATATTCACTGGTTTTTTGATGGCAACCCTTTACCAAAGTTAACCTTAAGTAATAATTGGGAGACCGAGTATAGGGACGGACCCTTTCATACCCCGTATAAATTGGTAATTGAGTTACAACTGGTTTATGGACCTGAGGTTGTGGTTTACCCTGAAGCAATCCTAACCTATGTAGATGCTAAACTTATAGTGGATTATGTTCGGGTATATCAATGGGTTAACGACACTGAAAATGACCATACTACAAATGTAATGCCCACTGAACCTCCGACCAAACAGTCGCTCATGTTTATTATATTACTCACATTTGGTTTAATTATTGTTATATTAATTGTGATTGTTATATTTCTGACTGTAAGACAAAAGCGTTTAAAACGGATTAACAGGGACAATATACAAAACTCTTACGATGATTGTATTGACAACGGTTTTCACCTGGAAACTGATGATACTTACCATGAATATAATTATTGTGTACCATATTCCGGGATAAATATGCCTGATGTTGTTGATCATAATTATCTTGAAATAACATAAATCTGCATAATCAAATTATATCAATCATAATCATAACCGTAATTAAATTGGTTTGTGATAATTAAGTCAATACAAATCATGACATTTAATAGTGTATTCAGTTTACAAATAGATTACTGTATAGTAGACAGTGTACTGTATACTGATCTATTAGATATATGCTCAGAAACTTTAATTTTGTACAATACTGTATCTATAAAATATCAATTAAATAAATAAGTTTGCTTGAGTATTTTTTGTCTGTTGATTAGATGTAAATAAGAAAATTAAAAATAATTTATATTTTAATAATAATTCATTTTGTAAAAATGTTTATATAGATATAACATGTACTGTATTAATAGCTCTTTATAAGGCATTTGTTATATTGGTTTTGTGTCATAAACTTTATGCGCAGATATTTTTTCAATACTAGTAAGAGTGACATAATAATCATTTGTTACTAGCTAAATAAAGGCATTTATCACTTATCAGCGGAATAATGCTAAACATTGTCAAAATAAATTTATAATAAATAAAAATGAATTTAATAATAATTATTTTTGTGATAATTATATCAATAAATTGTATAATAAATGCCAAACAATTAGTTTCCATATGGAGTGATGAGTTCAATAAACCAAATGTTAGTCAAAGTGAATGGATTATTGCTAATAATGGTTATAATTGTCATGGTAAGTTACACTGTTCTAATTTATTAGCTAGTTTTAAATAACTTATTTTTATTTATTCGACAAATGAGTTGATTGCGATAATATACAATTTAATTATGATATACTGGATATAAGACCGGCACCCAAAGGGAACTCCACTTCAAACAACACCGGAAAGTATACGTCAGCTATGGTTACGTCGAGACAGCACTGGACTTACGGTCGCTTCGAGATTAGAGCCGCCCTTCCGTCGAGCAAATAGTTGCGGACAGACATACGGTTAGAGTCGGCACAGAGTTATGGAAATACACCCAAAGGACAGTTAGTTATTGTCGCCTATGAACAGACACCAAAAGTTATTTTTGGGTCAGGGATTGGTATCAATAAAAAACAATTGCATTATAATACTAATAAAAACCTTCAAGACTTTCACACCTATGCTGTCGGAATGAGACACATATTCAATGGTTTTTCGATGAAAACCCTTTTCATTCATTAGCCTTAAGTAATATTTCATATACTAATCATAAGGACCTACCCTTCCATTCCCCCTATAAATTGGTTATTGATCTACAAGTGGGTGGACAGGAGTTTGACAATCGTATCCTAACTGATGATGAGTACAAACAATGGAAAAAGACTAAACTTAGTATAGAATATATCAAAGTATCTAAATGGGTTGACAATAACACTGAATCTGATACTACAGGTGCCGATACAATATTAATTGTCTCTATAATCACTTTAACCCTATTTCTGATTTCAATACCAATTGTTATTTATTTGTGTATTCGACTAAAAATGTTAAAACGGGTTATCCGTGACACTAATTTAAGCATTTTCTATGAAAATACCGCTTGTAATGACTCTACAATCTTGTAATAGACTATGTAAGGGTACATGCATATGGGAAAGTATCGGTTTCGATTACCACTGAATCCAATAGTATTAGTAGTACCGGTACTTATAATTATAATACAATAACAATTATCACTGAATCCTATACTAGAAGTTCCGATAAAATATCAATTGTTTCCATAATTACTTTGGCATTATTTCTGATATCGATACCAATTGTTATATAACTGTATAATTATAAATATAAATATATAAACTTGTATAATTATATATTTATGTATTTGCTTAAAAATGCTAAAACGCCTCAATCGTGAAAATAATTTAAGCATTTTCTATGACAATAACAATAATAATGAGAATACGTATGAAGATTGCAGTCATATCTATGATAGCGGATCCAAACAAAATGATAATTTTATGTATGAAAGTGTTGGCAATGATTGCGATCAAAAGAGATCATCCGATGGTTTAATTGTTAACACTTTCTATGAAATAAATTCGTAAATTAATAAATGTTACGAAATATAATTGAATTTTGTATTAAAATACTACACTTAACTTTGCATACAATAAACTAGATGGTTTTTGGGAATTTGTTTATTATATCGAGCGGTTAATTATACCGAATGTCAATACAAAAAATCATTTTATTCGTGAAATACATAGAAATTAATGAGTTTTTGTGATTTAGTAAAATATTCAGTAATAGTTGACTGTTTTATACAAGAAAATGCATTCTTCGTCAGTCTTTTCTGGATTTCATTGAAATTATCGGTCAATGAGTTGTCACCCATTTGGCAGAAGAAGGTCTGCAATTTATTCAATGAATCCAATGCTTGAGAAGTAGTTATCGGTTTGTCTATCTCTTGCGGGGAAATATCTTCTTCGGAGTCTTCCAAATCATATTCCACTGGTTTAGTGTAAACGTCTTGTATTATCTCCTCATCGGTACGAAAGTTTTCGATAATATCTATGTCATCATCACAAGATATATAGCTATCCATTGACTCGAACTCAACTGTTGTCAATGCCTTCAGTTTCTCCCAAACATTGGTCTCGTCTTCATATTCCTCTTCAGTCGACAACTCTATAATTGTATGCAATGAATGGCTCTCTTCTTGTGTCTGTTCCTTGAACTCAAACATTGCTTTCCGAAAGCAGTTCTTAATTGTGTCGCTAGAAACACTTTTCCATGATATGTCTAACAGTCTCATTGCAATCAATAAGTCTATTTTGGTGTTCACGCCGTTCTCGCAGTTAGTAATTAATAAACCAATCAGTTGTTTGCGATAATTTGCTTTAAGACTACGAATGATGCCCTGATCAAGGGGTTGACAAATTGATGTAGTATTTGGTTTAAAAAATTTAATTGTAATGTTTGACAATTGAGTATCGATGTAATGTCCGGAAAAGTTGTCTACAAAAAACAGGATATTTTTGTCTCTTTTTCATCTGTTTATTCAATGATTTCATAACTTTCTCGAATATATCTGAATCCATCCATGCGTTTGACTGCGGATAATAAGTCAATGGCAATGATTTTGTGTGTTTGAAAGCTCTCGGTTTTACAGCACTTCCAATGATAAAAACCTTTCTATCACTACCATCAGCATTAGTTATACACACAATTGTCACTCGATTCTTGCATTTCTTGAGTCCTTTTTTGGATTCATTTCCAAAAATAAAACTTATTTGGCAGCAATCGATAGAAAAGTGAAGTTTCATCTAAATAATAGATGTCCTCTGGTTTGTATCCACTGATCAATTGATCCAATTCTTGTTTCCAATTTTCTATCACTGTTTCATTGACTGAATCGGATTCTCCCCGCTCTTCGACAAACAAAATGTTATGTCTTCTCTTAGACCCCGAGAACCAGCCGTCACTTCCTTTGAAGGCATTGTATCCCATTTTGACGGAAAAATCAATTGTTTTTGCTTTAATCACATCCGATGATAAACTAATCTTCTCGGTTCTCATTTGCCTCATCCATACAATGACAGCCTCTTCGACATCAGGATATGACGATGTCTTGACTTTTGCCGCTGTTTTGGCCAACTTTTTGCTCAAATTCTCGTAATTATTCACAATTTTGTCTTTGTTTCAAAATTGCATTCAGGTGTGAATAACTCGTGAGTTTGTGGTCTCTAATAATCGCAGATCTGTCACCACTCGCTTCAAACTCTTTGATGATTTTATACTTCTCCTTAAGAAGTCTTTTTCGGAGGCATTTTGCTCACAGTTAACACATGTTTAGCAAATAATGATTGATTTCAGTGTTTGTTTGATTCAATGACTCATTACTATGTTTTTTTCACTATTTTACAGTTTTTTTTGTAAAAATTTGTTTATTATATCGAATGGATTTTCTATTGATTTCAATGTATTTGTACTCAAATATCTATTTATTATAAACAGCAATTTATTATACCAAGGTTTATTATAACCAACTTATTTTAACATTATGTCTATGGCTAGTGATCAATGTTTTCAGAAATTGTTTTTTTAACGATAGCTTTATTATAAACAACTTTATTATATGCAAAGTTAAGTGTATATACTGTATTAATACTTTCATTAAGTTAACTTGTAATTTATAACTACTGTAGTTTGTAATATTTATGTCATTTACTTTATAAGGTATTTGTAATAAATATTTTAAAAGGAAATGTATTGTCTATAAATAATTTTCAATTTATTACATTACTTTCTAATTAATGTCATGAATGGAGACAATGCCAACAAATATTAATCCTTTAAAAAATAGTGACATTAAAAAATGAATCTTCATCAAATAATTATCATTATAATTATATCAATAAATTGTGTCAAAAGTGTTAAACAATTACAAGTGGTATGGAGTGATGAGTTCACTAATGAAAACATTAGCAAAACTCAATGGATTTTTGCTAATGATCCTGACAATTGTTTTGGTAAGTTATATTTTATTACATCAAAAACAATATAGTGTATACCTTATTTTTATGACACAGAAAATTCACGATTATGTTATTGTTACACTAATAAATCCCAGAACATTGTGTATCATAAAAATGAAAGATTGATCTTAAGACCTGGATACGAAAATAAATACTATAATACTAAAAAATACACGTCAGCTATGGTTACGTCGAGAAAGCACTGGACTTACGGTCGCTTTGAGATTAGAGCCGCCTTTCCGTTGGGAAAAATGTTACGGACAGACATACGGCTAGAGTCGGTACAGAGTTATGGAAATACACCCAAAGGTCGAATAGATATCGTCACTAATGTTCAAACACCAGAGATTCTCTATGGAACACATACGTGTATCCCAGATATGAATATGACCATAGTGAACCATCAAACATATGATACTAACGAAACCCTTCAAGCATTTCATACCTATGCTGTCGAGTGGGATGAGACACACATTCAATGGTTTTTTGAGGGAAACCTATTGTCTACGTTAGCCATAAATAATATGACAGACACTGAGTATAAGAATAGTACTGGCTTACTTTTCCACTCACCTTTTAAATTGGTTATTGATTTACAAGTGGATAGAAATGAATTTAACGACTGCACCCTATCTGACCAGGATTATGATCAATGGAAATCAAGATTTATGATTGAATTTGTCAGAGTCTCCCAAAGGGTTACTATGGACTCCAGTATTACCCGTACGGATATTTTAATTATTGTCCTGGTAATCATTTTAGCATTATTTCTAATATCGATACCAATTATTATATATTTATGTATTCGACTAAAAATATTAAAACGGGTTAATTGTGACAATAATTATAATAATGATAATACATATGCAGATTACAGTCACACGTATAATAGCAAACAAAGTGTATATTTAAGGTATGAAAGTGTTAGTTATGATTGCGATAATAGGAGATCATCACATGGTTTGGTTTTTAATAGTCTGTATGAGGCTGAATAATTTTTAAATTATATTATTTTAATAAAGTATTTGTTAAGTTTTTTGTTAAAAAGTAAAAAGTTAATAATATTAATATATTATATAAAGTAAAATATAAATTTTATAAAAGCAATATTTACAATTTATATTGTATTTGTCATTTTATTATGCTGGATGTACACGGAAATGCGTTTATAGTATACACTGTATTTATTGACGTTATTATTCATAATTTTTCCAAATAAAGACTTAAATATTTATTTAGTCTTAAACATTAGTTAGTTATTTACTGGAAAAACAAAATATTTTAAAAATAGAAATGAATTTTATAAAACCAATTCTCAATATAATTATATGTATAAATAATTGCCAAACAATTACACCCGGAATGGAGCTATGAGTTCACTAATCCTAACATAAGGTTTAGTCAGTGGACGACTGCTAAAATCCTGACGAGTGTCATGGTAAGTTAAACATTTTCTCAATATGAACA